ATATATTATATATGTAAATATAATATTACACACAAAATAAATATACTATACTGCAATATTATGTATATTATATATATAATATAAGAGAGAGAATACTCAAGGCATAAAAACACATTCTCACTGTGTTTTTTCCTCTGCCTAATTATTTTAATTTCTAGGTACCCTTGGAATGGTAAAGGATTTAAAACTATTTATTATAAAGAGACAGACAGACGTCTAAGGATGTTTAACCCAGAGAAGAGAACTCTCATCAGGGAAGCAGAGGAACAGTCCTAGAATTTCTGGGCATTTGTGAAATCCAGAGGAAGCAAGAACATTTCCCCTGCTGCTTCACTCTGCAGAGCACAGAGACTTATTTCCCAGTGGCTTCCAGGAAAACGTCTGTGTTAAATGTGGTCCTCCAGGCAGCAGATGCCAAGAAGTAATTATATAGGAAGGGGTTTCATAGGGAAAATGCAAGTGAAGACAGAGTTGGGAGCCTGTAAAAACAGATTCTGACTGAGAGAGGGAAGGAGGGAGGGAGGAGGGAGAGAGAAAGAGAGAGAGAGAGAGAGAGAGAGAGAGAGAGAGAGAGAGAGAAAGAAAGAAAGAAAGAAAGAAAGAAAGAAAGAAAGAAAGAAAGAAAGAAAGAGAGATTCTTTGTCTTCCAGGAACTCATCTGTCTTAGTCTGATTTATGATCCCCAAACTTGGAGAATGAAGGCTAAGGTGAAGCAACTGGGCCTTGGCCAATTGTGCTGTGGTAATAGGAAGTGTTCAAATGCGTTAGGATGACTTCTAGTCTCAAGCGCCATCGCTCTGTCAAGTGAATCCAGTCCCTTACTTACAAAGGCAAACCTCTAAGAGTAACCCAAGACCGCTCAGCAGAAACCCTTAAAGTAAGGAGACCATGGGTTCATACACTTTAAGCATGGGGACCAAGTAATTGATAATCAAGACAAAATAAACCCAGAAACAAAAACCTTCTGTGATATGCACAAGCTAAAGCAACTCATGATCAGAAGCAAGCACTGTGAAAAAATGCGCTAGAGTCTACTGCACCTTAAAGAGGAAGAAAGATAGCAGTGCAGACCAGCAGATCATAACCACCTGTAACTTCCAGGTTAACACTTAGTCCCCGTGTCTCCAACAAGACGACAAGAATTAACTTTGGTCACTGCACTCATATAGCACATGAGCACACACAATTGAAAAACAAGAGAAACAAAAAAGTATATCAAAATTATAAATCCACCTACACTGAATGAGGGTGCGTTCAGCCCATAAAACAAAGACATAGGAGATAGATGAAGATATCCTAACAGTGAGCGGCTTCGCTGTCCCACTCTCAAATGGGTAGGCCATCCAGACCACAGCGCCGGCTTCAGAGGTTAACCAGTTGATGAGGAAGTGGACTTACAGGCTGTGCATTGAACAGTCTACCCAATGACTGTGGAATACGCAATCTTCTTAGAAACCCATCCATAAAGTATGTCTTAGAAAATAAAAATATTATTGTATCTTATTAGATATTTAATAGAATAAAATTAGAATGCAACAGTGAAGAAATTATGTACATATATCTTGAATAAGACCCCATAAAAGATCAATGAGTGTGCTACTTTGAATACAATTGACCCCACAACCTCACAGGGAGGGCACTTTTGGGAAGTGTGACTTTGTTGCAGCGAGTATGGCCTTGTTGGAGAAAGTGTGTCATTGTTGGGGTGGGCTTTGAAGTTTCCTATGCCCAAGACATCACTTAGTGTCTGAGACCACTTCCTGCTGCCTATTGGTTAAGATGTAGCCAGCACCATGTCTGCCTGCATGCAGCCATGCTCCCCCTCCATGTCTGCCTGCACATCACCATGTCCCGCCACGAGGACAATGGACTGAACCTCTGAACTGTAAATGAGCCGCCCATCATGTTCGTTGTCTTGGCCAGTTTCTCTAAGCATGTGGGTTGTGGGGAAGAAGGACTGATACCCAACTGAAAGTCTTGCTCTCCTTATTAAGGCAGTGAAAGAAGAACATCCCGTGTGATGGAATTCTAACCCAATCTATCTAGCAGTTAATGGTTTGCCTGCTTTTCTATAGACTAAGAGCTTTTTACATCCATGGCGACCACCTCTTTCCATAGTTCTGGGAATCAAAGAAGAAAGAACAAATTATATTCCTGTTATTAGTGACATGCGTTCCCAGGTCTAGTTTTAAATTGTTTCATGAATTGTGCATGAACTGTTCATGCTATAGTAAAAACACAATAATCACAAGAGCTAGAAATTAAGGGCATTGCATGTGTTCCTGACACTGGGTTTTATATCTAGGCTCAGGCGCCTGTATTAGATGAGCATATTTTGTTTGTTTGTTTGTTTTTGAGACAGGTTTTCTCTGTATCTTTGGAGCCTGTTATGGAACTAGTTCCCATAGACCAAGTTAGCCTTGAACTCACAGAGGTCTGCCTGCCTCTGCTTCCCACGTGCTGGAATTAAAGGTATGTACCACCACCACCTGGCAGAAAAGCATCCTTATATGCTCCAGATTATTCATGAAGACATCCATGTTTTAGGAGGTTGAGAAACTTTTCTAAGAATATAATAGGTAATTGACTGCTTGTCTTATTGTGCAGCTATGCAGTGCCTTCTCCCTCAAATTTCTACCATAGCCATCTTCCCAATAGCTTGCTTCCACAGAGCGTTTCAAATATGACTCAAGACCTACTCTCTTCTGGCTGAGAATGGGAACACCTTGTGTGCTCTTAGAGACTGTGCCAATGACACTCCAGCAACGCTGGCCTGAGATGACCATCGAGGGCACTCGAGGCTGAAGGTGGTGACAACTGGAAGAGCTTGTTGGTCTTACCATCCAGTGACTGCAGGTAGCCAAATACAGTACGGTTTTTTGGAAATACAGCATTTGGCTGACCTTGTAGAACTGTTTAATGTATCCATTTTGGTTGCCTGGTTATGTGCTGATACACACCAAGATCACGTAGAGCTGGCATGTCAGGGAGCCAAGAGTCAGATGGGGACTAAAATAGCAAGGGCTCTGCAGAGAATTGGAGTGGTCGACTTAGCTAATTACGTTGTCTTTTATGATTCATGTGTCCTCAGTATCACAGAGAAATGATGAGAAGGATTATATTTTGAAAAGCCACAATGAATGTGTAAGATGCCCGCACTAGAGCCCCTTAAGTATGAATGGAATGTATTTAAAATGAAATCATTGCATTCATCATTTCTGTTTTGTCAACGGTGCAACCACTGGGGAAACGGCAGGGTCACATATGTATATTTTAAGAAATAGGATTCAGATAACTTCAGTAAGATCTAATTTGGTTGTGTTGCTGTGTATGCATACATCCAGGGTCAGTCATGGATGTCCTACTGTGGGGAAGGTACTCTACTATATTTTAATAGACTGTGTTGGTAGTCCACATTCTGGATTCATAACAAGTTCTAGGATCTCCGAATGGTAAGGTAGTTCTTTAAGTTCAGGCAGAAACTAAAAGACGTGGCGTACTGAATCTTCTTGGTCAATAACTCAGGGTGAGTCTGAACTAGGGTGACTCTACGCAGAGGCTCCCAACCTTCCTAAAGTGCCGATCCCTTAATACAGTTTTTCATGTTGTGCTGACCTCAATTATATCTCTGTTGCTACTTCATGACCGTAATTCTGCTGCTGTTATGAATAAGGAGGCCGAAGTTTGCCAGAGGGGTTGCAAGGCACACATTGAGAACCACTGTTCCAGAGGAATGCTGGTGCCAGTCAATGCGAGTGATTGGTCACAGCAGTGCTCCCAGCACCAGCAGCTGAGTGCCCTCACATTCCCTTGCTCACCTCGTCCATAGGTGCTGTGGTCTGTGCAGCTGGAGTCAATTCCTATCTGCAAGGATCTTTCAGACTCCTAGACCTGAGGGAGAAGCTGCCGTGAGTGGTGACCTGACTGCTGTTCCTTGGATGAAGTCAGAGCCACCTGTTCCTTCTTGCTTTGAGTAGTGGGAGGCTCTGCTTTCTACCACAACGAGCTGGGGAACAAATCCCCAGACCCAGCAGTGAAGACCGGCGTCTGGGCAGCCAAAAGGATGAAAATGTACCTTGTGTGAACTAGGTAAGTTTATACATAAAAAATAGAAGTCCGGGCTGGCAGAATGACTGAGTACTTAAAGGAGACGACTTTCTCAGGAACCTGGGAAGCCATGTGGCTCTAGCATTGGGCTTGTCTCTCAGCACACATCCATCAAAGCTGCTTTTCTATATTCACGCCACGCTTGAACGGCCCCTTTCTTATTTGCTTTACGGGACATTCCACATCCAATTCTCATTTATTTTCATTTTAAATACAAGTTTTTCTTGTGTTGGGAAGTTTTTCCCTGGATTTGGTTTATGGAGGGGGGGGGGTCCATGAACTCCCAAAAGCATTTAGTTCATCTCCGTGATGGAATTTCCATGGCCACTTCTCCATTATTAAGAAATAACGGGAAAGCTTATACTGTGGCTAAAACAATTGGAAAATGTCAAGACATAGACCTGTCCCCTCTTTAGGACTGCCTCCCCCATCCAAACCATCATCTGGCTTTCATTAAAATTTGACATTTATCTTTCCAAAGTGAATTTATCTTCCTATTATAAGAATAGAAAATGTCACAATTTGCTGCAAATAAAATAAATACAGAAAACATAAATAATAATTTAAGTGAAAACCATAGTTTTAAAATAAGATCTTTCTTAAAACCACAAAGCACTGAGGTTAAAAAGTTAAAAAAAATAAAAACCCTAAAATGAGTTGTGAGCCAGTAGTATAACCTGTTGCAAGCTGGAAGCTTACACATGTTAAGCCCTCACTATAATAAACAAATAAATAAGTCCAACATTCTGTGCAAAGCATTAGCATGAAAGCAGCTCATCAGACACTGTAATGTGGACTTGGATTTCTACACGCTGTCTCCCATGGCTCGCCAGTGAAGACAGAAAACACGAACAGATGTTTGTCACTTTGGAAGGGAACACAGTAGGCTTTAATGGGTTGTGTGAGACAGTCAGTTACTCAACTAGATTTTTCTTTTAAGTTAGATGTAGGCAAGTCCATCAGTTGAAGATTCAGGTTCTAATAGGTGAAGCAAGCATGAGTCTTCAGGAGATGACCACTGTCCCAGACCAGGCAACACAGCACAAGATAGACAGGGGATCCTTGCTTCCTTTCTGTCCTTAAATAAACAGGAAACACTCAGTTCATCTGAAGTAAAAACTAACCGTGGAAAACTTTCACGGGTGCTGGTCATGGGTAACTTTCACAGTTACTAACCTCACAAATGCACTCAATTGGAAACACACTGGTCTGAGGACCAGCATAATCCCCCGTCTGATGCTCTTCTCATAGAAAGTGAGAGAACTGAGAAAAGGGTCATAGTTTCTTTGTGAACATATGAGCCTTAAAAACTAAAATATTTCTTTAGTACACTCTTTTCTTAGGAGAGGGATAAAGTTAGGAAAGGACATTAGAGATGAAAACCAGTAAGAAATGTTTTTCAAAGTACCTGGATGAAGATGGAGAGACACAGAGATGTCTTCAGTGGGGAGACAGTGAGAAACGCCTAGCAAAGTAACCTGTGGGTAGTACCCCATATCCCCATGAGAGAAGATAGTCTGATACACTCATCTGCTGCTTTCATTGTTCGCAGACCTAGCAACTTTTCTTCGTCTTTATTTTGAATGAGATCTTTCTAACAACTAATGAGGAGTGAAACGATCCTGTTACCAGTGGAGGCAATGTGAACACCGACACATACACATACTGTGTGTGTATCACATACTGTGTAGGCAGTAATCACGTCCATTCCCATTCTGTGTCGTTGATCTTTAAGGTCCTCCTCTTCAATAAATGACCCACAATCACAACTGTTGATCTTTCGAAACATTGTGATTCACAACCAGGAACCAAACATTAGCCACTGTCCCAGAAGCTTCTGAATGAAGGTATCCATTGATTGTCTCATGGCTATAACAAAAGATATGACAAACACAACTTAAGGCAGAAAGTTTTTACTCTGTCCGTCTCAAACAGCCAGTGTTCTAACTCGTGGGCCATCTCCCCCACCTCAGTGCTTATTTCTTAAGAGGGTATTTGCTATATTCTCCCAGAACTGAAAGTTATACAAAGTTGGGTGACTTTATTGACTGTTTTTGGTCTTCTTTGGGAGGGTTTAAATTGTGAAAGGGACACAGCCTACTATGTGTCAGTGTCTTTCCCATGACATTGTGTATGTCTGGCGAGTACTCTGTTATCAAGGCTCATGCCTAGCCTCCAAAGTCTTTCACACACACACTGTTAGCATTTACAGAACTCTGTGAGCTGGATATGCTGATTTAAATTCAGTGTAGTTGTTCTGAGGTACAGGGGAAATATTCAGAGCTAGGTCAGACTCAGGTCCCCTGACTTTGAGTCAAATGTGATTAGAGCTTCTACTTGGCTTCTGTAATCATCTAGAAGCTGGTTTAGCTGTGAAGAATAGATTGGACTCAACTGACGATCAAGACATCAACAGCAAGGGGACAGGATCTGCCCATTTTAAGGCAATAGTGTTCTGCTAATGCCACGAATCCCAGTAGGCTCTCCTGGGGCAGTGCCTGCTGTGTCTTAGAGCCTACTGACTTAATCCTTGAGCATGGATGAATTAACATTTACAAATATGCATGCCTGTCCTCCTGGAAGAGTTAAGGTCATGACTGATGACTTAGAAGTGTTTTTTCGAAGGAATGAACTTTCCTAAAAATAGAAGGCATTAAAATACAGGTTTGAATGGTCTCTAAGTTTTGGAAATGAATTTTGGTCTAACTAGTCTGGTTGGTCCTTTAACTTAGAATAACTCCTTTACATACTAAAGTTTACTTCTGAGGGCTGTAAAATAACAGTGAGTCATTCTGGGGGGCACTGGGCCTTGAACTCACTGACCTGTGGAAAGGAGGTTTTGGGGGTAGTCAGAGTGGTATTTCCTCTGGGAGAGCAGTCAGAACTTTTAACTTCAGCATTATCTTTTTAGCCCTCCAATTGTCCATCTTTATTACTCAAGATATCAAAATATTCAAAAACAATCAGATCCAGCACTGTTAGATTGACTTTCTCAGCTGTAAGGTATACAGGTGAGAATATTACAGAAAACAGTCAAGATGAAGATAAAGGTGGTATATAAAGAAAAGTCTAAAAACATTAAAAAGTTGTTTTAAAAAAGAGCCACAAAAGATAATTGTGAAATATTGAAAATAATCACCAACAAAGAAACAATAAGACTAGGTCATTATGTAATATGGTGATGTGTTTCAGGTGTCCACTTGTTCATTTTGGCTGTCGAGAACCAAAATAATCACACAGAACCTGTATTATTTAAATCACTGCTTGACCCATTAGCTCTAACTTCTTATTGGCTAACTCTTACATCTTAATTTAATTCATCTCTATTAAATTATGTATCACCACAAGGTCTTGGCCTACCAGCAAAGTTCCAGCACGTCTATCTCTGGTGGTGAATCCATGGCATCTCCCTGACTCTTCCTTCTCTCAGCATTCAGTTCTGTCTTCCCCACCTACCTAAGTTCTGCCCTTTCAACAGGCTAAGACATTTTTTTAATTCATTAACCAATGAAATCAACACATAGACAGAAGGACCTCCCACACCATTTCCCCTTTTCTGTTTAAACAAAAAGGAAGGCTTTAACTTTAACATAGTGAAATTACATATAACAAAACAGTTATCAAACAAGAATTACAGTTACAATATTTATATCTACTTTATCTTTTATCATAACTAAGGAAAACTATAACTATAAATTCTTCAATTCTATCAAAGACTCCAGAAGGATATAATATTACCTAAGTAAACAGAAAGTGCATTGTGAGCAACTTCCAAAACTCTAGAATTTACAGAGACATCTTGTTGCCTGGACAGTTACCCAAAGTTCTTCTTTACTGTTGGGAATCCATCTTCAGCCTACAGGCCCATAGTATCTGGCAGACTTTTCCATGAAGCAAGAAATTTCAAAGACAGTTCAGTCACTTTCTTCTGTATCCTGTAGGATGACTCACAGACTCCTTCATGAAGCAGGAACCCCAAAGGACCATCTCACTTGTAGGCAAGTTGAGCAATCATTTTTTTGTGGATCCTGCATGTGCAGTGAAGCAGTCTAGGTAGGAGCAGTTTCTTGCCTAAATGGCTAACAAACTCCATAAAGAACCTCTTCGATGCCCATTTTCTTCTTGAAGTAACTGGTGCTTCTAGGAGCAAATGTGTCTCATTGTCATTAAAAGTCTTAAGTTCTTAAACATTTTTAAATGCCATATTCTGAAGGTCTCTGAAAGATTTGAAGAAGACCTAACTAACTGAAATATAGCTCTATATATCTAGAAAATGTAACTAACATAACTACAATCTTGACTATTATTTAGATGACTATCTATTAACCTATATTTCTTAATTACACATTACATTTTTAAATGAACTACACAAACACAATATCTTAATCAAGGGCAGAAATATACACATACAGTATAACAAAATTTACCTTAAATTTGTATCAAGAAACCAAGATCCATACCAATGCAAATTATTCATATCTATATCATATTCCCCTTTAAATGTAAAAAAACAATTATAAACAATATTTGGGAGTATGGGTGTAGTTACTTCTCTCCAAACTGCTTCCTGCTATTTATTGGGCAAAATAATTTTTGAGGGTATTTTTGGGGTATTCATGGTGACCTTTCAGGGGATCTTGGTCCATGAACCATATTGGTCAAGAAGCAATCCTCAGGTTCTCATCTTCTGTAGAAACAAAAGAAAAACTTTTCCAAAGTTTCCAAAGCAACATATTCTTAGACCCAAATTTGAAAGTCATGATACCTTTATAATATACATGCTGGTTTAGCTTAGCAGCCCATACAATATATTTATGTTCTCTGTATTTAGCTCCTTCACAGTCAAAAAATTCAAAGAAAACACAATAATATACATAGTCCAGACTGTGAATTTTCCATCTTTATGTAGCTTATTTTTCTTTCTGTACTCTGTGTCTTTAAAGGCTTTACCTTTTTAAAAACCATTTACTTGTTTTTATAATACATTATTTTTCTTCTCTCTCCCAAGTCTATGAACATTTATCCAACACTGTGACCCATTTATAGGTCCTTTTTTAAAATCTGTATTTATCTGTATTGTATATCTGTAATTTTTTTACTCTCCAGGAGCACTTCTTAAAATGCTAAGCACTTTTTAAAAACTTCAGCTGCATCATTGTTAGGAGTAATACAGTACTTCCTGTTTGCCTGACCAGTCTAAAACTTAAACTTCATATTACTATGATATATATGGTACTTCTTGCTCACAATGCAAAGTCCAGCATGGTGGAGTCACTTGTGCCTCTGAGCAGTGCACCCTGCCCCAGCTCCAGGTACACAGTCAGTCCAAGTTGCCATCAAGCAAGGCACATGCAGCATATTGCTCATAAACCCCATCCAAATACTTGGTCTCCCAAAAGAGCCAGAGGTCACGCTGGTAGCATAGCCCAGAAAGCTGGCATTTAAAAATGGCTGCGGCTTTTTTCCTGCTATGGCTGAATCAGAAAAATCTCTTTTAAAGAAGCTGCAGCATGCCACAGTTGAAAAATAAATGAGGCTAAACTTTGTTTTTTTTCTTTTAATTTTTGTATATAGAATTTCTTTTTAAGCTTCCTCAGGTTTTACATGGATTTAGTCCACCACATTGGTGTGCCAATTTGTTGCAGGGGTCTGCTTGTTTGTCCCAGCCGCCCAGAATCAAAATAATCACACAGAAAATATATTATTTAAATCACTGCTTGGCCCATTAGCTCTAACTTCTTATTGGCTATCTCTTATATCTTAATTTAATCCATCTCTATTAAACTGTGTATCAGCATGAGGTCGTGGCCTACCAGCAAAGTTTCAGCACGTCTATCTCCAGCGGTGGATCCATGGTGTCTCCCTGACTCTTTCCTTTTCCCAGTATTCAGTTCTGTCTTCCCCACCTACCTAAGTTCTGCTCTATCAACAGGGCAAGACAGTTTCTTTATTCATTAACCAATGAAATCAACACATAAACAGAAGGACCTCCCACACCAGTGATGGATGGCAACAAGGTTCCATTTTTGTATCCATTTCAGCATGGTCCCACATGTACGTCACACCCTCATCCCAAAGAGAGTCTTAATGCAAATCACAGGAACTCTGCTGGACCAATGGGTATGAGCCATGTCTAAGTGCTGCTGACTGGACACTGGATCCTAGGGCACTGCCTAGAGTCATAGTACATGTGCTCACACAGAGTTAGACTCTAAGGGTGTTCAGCAAAATAGGGATGGCTTTCTTAAGAAGGAGACAGGGCAAGTGATTCTTTTCTCCAGAAACAATTTGAATAGTTAAGAAGAACATGTCATTAGCATTCGGCATTGTGACTCATGTCTGTTATCCCAGTATTCAGGAAGAAGCAGAGGCAGAGGGTTTATAAGTTCAGTTCTGGGATATATAGTGAGGTTCTGTCTAGAAAGAAAGGAAGAAAGGGGGAGGGAAGGGAAGAGAAGGGAAAAGAAGGAAAGGGAAGAGAAGTAAAGGGGAGCGAAGAGGAGGGGAGGGAAGGGAAGGGGAAGGAAGGGAAGGGGAGGGAAGGGAAGGGGAGGGAAGGGAAGGGAAGGGAAGGGAAGGGAAGGGGAGGGAAGGGAAGAGAAGGGAAAAGAAGGAAAGGGAGGAGAAGTAAAGGGGAGGGAAGAGGAGGGGAGGGAAGGGAAGGGGAGGGAAGCTGAATTTACACCAGAAGAGAGGAACAAAGCTACAAAGCATATTGCCTATTTTTTAAAAGTCAGAGGAACACTATAAAAATTAGTGGTTGTAACCAGCAGTTGGATTGAAAATGTGAAAACTTTTTAATTCCCAAGAGAGTGTAACGGGTTTTTCTAAGGGAGATCAGTCAATGGTCCTCTCTTTAGTTCCTTCTGTACTAGTTGAAAGACCTACACAAATAGAGACTCTGAGCAGAATCCCCCAAGATACCCAGATAAGAAGAAAAATTTCAGTATTCAATTCAGGCCAAATGTCTGAAACGTTAGTCTAAATAGTACCAAATGTTGAGCTGTTTTCTATCATGTATAAAAATCTATGTAAATGATGAGGCTTTCGTCTGTCATGCAGACACCGTTAGAATATGGAGAAGGAGCCTAGAGAGGAAGCAGCGAGGCAAGGGCATTTGGTTTCACACCTGTCTTTTCCATGACATTTGTATGCAAGGGAAGTAACAGTGTTAGCAATGTCTCAACACAAAGGACATTTAAATGTGCAGGACATATCAGATATGGTGACAGAATGCAAACAGTAGTCCCTTGTTGGAAGATTACACCACATTCAGATGCTACGTGTGTATTCAGCTTTTCTTTGCTTTCTGTTCACACAGCCATTTGCTATCTCTGACACCAGGTGCGTGGGTGTCACCCCCCCCCCCAATCCCACATGCCAATCAAAGCAATCCTCAAGCAGATTATCCAGGGAACACGAGCCTGTGTCCTCCAGTGCAATTCAGTCCTGACACCGTTCACCTGAACAGAGCTTCGGACCCAGTGGGTTAATGCATCTGTCCCAATAGCTGTCCCCCACCCCAGATACAGGTGTAACCGTGCTTCTGAGTAGCCACACTTGGTATGACTATGCACTACTCTTTGGAGTTGATTAATTCACTGGAGTGGTTCACAGAACGCAGGAAAACACTAGAATTTCGAGTTATTACTAAAAAATGCAAGGTGCTGGAAAGAGATGACTCAGTGGTTAAGTGTGCTTGATGCTCTTGCAGACAGGATTTGGGTCCTGTTTCCAGCACCTACATCAGGAAGCTCACAGACACCAGTACCTCCAAATTCCAGGGGATCTGAGGTCCTCTCCTGGCCTATTTGAAAACTATAAATAAATGAAGCATATTCAGACAAGCAGGTAAATACACATCAACATGATAAATAAATAGAGTAAATAAGTAAATAACAAATCACTAGTAAAGGATCTAAGAAAAGATAGAGATGAACATCCAGAAGGAGATAAACAGCCTGGGGAAGGAACACTGGGTCCCAGAGCCCCTTTGCCTGCCTCCTGACAGCCCTGAGAATTCTAACTCTGACTTTTCCTGTAACTAGTCCCCATCCTGAAGTACCCAGAAACTCCCAGCCACCTGTTACTCTATTACCATCCAAACAACTTACCATGCCCCAGATTCAAAGGCTCTAGGAGTTGTATGCCATGAAATGGACACAAGCAAAATCCGTGTATGTATTATGTAGTAGGGCCACCAGAGGTTATCAGTCATTCTCCCTGAGTGCGTGTATTGCACATTTTGTGAGTGGTAAGGTTAAAAGAGCAGCAGACAGCTGAGGAGAGCTGGATTTTGACTTAAGGATGCCTGTCCCTCGGCAGACATGATTCTCTGCAATGAATGGGGGTTGCCAATAATTTGAAAGCCAAACCACATGCACACACAGAATATTAATATT